CTTCAACTGGTAACATACAGAATCTCTCTCTCTCTCTCTCTCTCTCTCTCTCTCTCTTTCCATTTTTTTAAGAATATTGTTATGAGCCGACTATGATTGTCTTAAGTTGAGATTTATTATTCCGACAGTTTGAAAAAAACTGTAAAGAGTCTAATTTGATTGAAAACCAAGTTCGGATCTTCGAATGAATAGTTGCATCATTTTATTTTTATTGTTCCTCTGTGTAAATTGCTGGACCCTTTCTTCAACATAAATGTTATATAGAACTTCACATTAATTCATTATGGGACTAATTGGTAAAAATCATGTCTGATTTAGGTCAGCTGAGTTTGTGTCAGGTGGGATTTGTGTTTCTCAGTAAATTCGATGAGATTTGTGTCGGTTTACCTTAAACTCGTGAAACGTTTTGGTTTATGATTTTCATATGATATGAAGCTAGATTTTACCTCCATTTTTTTTTTTTCCTTTTTTTGATAAATCTTTTCATTCATCATCAGAAGCATATGATGCTCTTGATCCAAATGGGAACATCACAATTAAATGGGATGTCATCAATTGGACGCCTGATGGCTACGTGGTGAGCAGAACTGTCATCCATTTTTCCCTTTTTTTAGTAAATGCATACATCCTCAATGGAAATAAATAAATAAAAATTATACAGGCAGTTGTAACGATATTCAACTTCCAACAATACCGTCACATCCAAGCTCCCGGGTGGAGCCTCGGGTGGACCTGGGCTAAAAAGGAGGTGATTTGGAGCATGATGGGCGGCCAAACAACCGAGCAAGGAGATTGTTCGAGGTACAAAGGGAACATCCCACATTGCTGCAAGAAGGACCCCACGGTGGTTGATCTCTTGCCCGGGACACCTTACAACCAGCAGATTGCAAATTGCTGCAAGGGGGGTGTCATAAACTCTTGGGCTCAGGACCCAGCTAACGCTGCTAGCTCCTTCCAGGTCAGCGTGGGGGCTGCGGGGACCACGAACAAGACGGTTAGGGTACCCAAGAACTTCACGCTCAAGGCACCGGGGCCCGGCTACACGTGTGGGCCTGCAAAGATTGTGAAGCCCACCAAGTTCGTCACGCAGGATGGGAGGAGGGTGACCCAGGCGATGAGTAAGTTGTTTTAGCCTAATGTGAATGTGATTGTCCTCAAAGAAAACCATTACCAATCACTTTCTTGAAATGTCCTCAAAGAAAGCTTTAGTAACTAACACATGATCCTCATAGATCCTTCTGTGGTGTTGTGTGAATGTGTACTAATCCTGCATAAATATATTGTTCTAGTTTCTTATACGAGTCCTTTTGCGTAAAACTATATTTAGTTCTGTCTATTCGAAAAGTTTGGTTCATTTTGTTTTAAATTATTCCGTATATACACTCAAATGTATATATTGTACACACACATTTTTTTTTCTTTTTTAATCTTTTTCTTAATTGTGTCTCGGGGCTCTTATTGCAGTGACATGGAATGTTACGTGCACATATTCACAGTTCCTAGCTCAAAAAACTCCCACGTGTTGCGTATCATTGTCATCCTTTTACAATGACACTATTGTCCCTTGCCCGACTTGTACATGTGGATGCCAAAATAACCTTACGCAGCCTGGGAGCTGTGTGAAGTAAGATTTACACTTGTATTCTCTCTTAAAATCTTTGTGAACTTGTAGGTTTCACAGTATTTAATTTATGTTCTTTATATTTTTTTTTTTAATTCTTGCAGTCCTGATTCTCCTTACCTTGCTTCGGTTGTTTCCGAACGAGGGAAGAGCAATAGTCTGGCGCCACTTGTTCAGTGCACCAGCCACATGTGTCCCATTCGGGTACACTGGCACGTGAAGGTGAACTACAAGGAGTACTGGCGTGTTAAGGTCTCAATCACAAACTTCAATTACAGGATGAATTATACTCAGTGGAATTTGGTCGTCCAGCATCCCAACTTTGATAATTTGACCGAGATTTTCAGCTTCAACTACAAACCGCTAAATCCGTACCAAAATATAAGTAAGTGTTGCTATCAAGAGTTAACACCAGTATTTATTTTCTTATTTTGATTATAATGTCTTTGGTTGGTGCATGATTTACTCTTTTTAGGCATTATTTCAAAAACTACCCAAAATGGAGTAACATGATCTGAGTGTAACTGTCTTCTATTTATTTATTTCGCTTTAAAACACAACCCAAAGAGACCCTTTTTGATCAATTTTCTTGGAGGTGAGGTACTAGTACAAATCAAATGACACTCATTATTTCTTTTGTTTTTTCGATTGAAATAGATGATACCGCAATGCTATGGGGTGTCAAATTTTACAACGACTTGCTCATGCAAGCGGGGCCCTTAGGAAACGTGCAGTCGGAGCTTCTTTTCCGAAAGGACAAAAATACCTTCACATTCGAGAAGGGTTGGGGCTTCCCGAGAAGAATTTATTTCAATGGCGATAATTGTGTGATGCCGCCTCCCGACGCATATCCATATCTGCCAAATGCTGCTACTCTGCGCCAAAATGTCTCGTTTTTATTGCTACTCGTTTCTCTCTTCTCGTCTCTCGCTATCCATTTCGCGTGCTTTTGAGAATCCGGGAAGGCTTCTTTTTGTGTCATTGCTTAGTGGGATTTAAGAAGAGTTTATCATATGCCACTGGACTTTGGCAAAAGCTTTGTGGGAATTACTTTTTTTTCTTGTTTACTTCAATTTTTGTTCGAGTCCAGTGAGAGTTTTTTAGTTTTTGTAGTTGCCAATGGTGTTATTTGTACGGCTGCTCTTATAAATTATTATATTGTTTATATTATAGGATATTTATTTCGAATAAGAACAGCTGAGTGTAAGCTACTTTATTTATTTATTTATTTTCTTTATTCGTGCTATATCGTTGTCTGTTATTTTGGAATTGTGTGTTTAACAAAACATAAAAAAAAAAGAACCACCAGAAAATAAACTATGTAATGTACGAAAGGGGAATAAGATGAAGAAATCTCAAAATCTGATAATTTTATTCAATAATAGCCGACGGCTTTGATGAAGAAGACACAATATATAAAGTCCAACTAGTCTAAATCTCTATCTTGCTAGACATGTAAATTCCAAATAGTAATAAATATTCAACTATCAACTGAGAAAAGAGATATAAAACATAATAATAAAATAGAGAGGAAATAAATAATTAAATTAAGGATGGTAAATGGTCATATTTTTCCATAAATGTCATCGCGATCTTGTCTCCATCATTCTCCCCCAATTGGGAAGGATTCGATCTCGAATCCGGAATAATCTCGTCTCTGTCCAAATTCTCACCAAGTAAGGAACCAAATGCTTGACGCTGAAAACGTACGAGGTTCGAATATGCGA